AAAATCTTTTAAGAGCGATTTGACTCGCTGCCTTCTTCTGTTTTCTTTGTTTTTTCATCATCACTGCTTGTATTGGAGTCAGTTTTTGTGCTAAATGTTGGTGATGCAGATGAAATAATTTCCTTTTCAACAACAATTACCTCTTCAGTTGGTGTGGTTTTATCACCTGCTTCAATTTCTTTTTCGGTTGGTGTGGTTTCATCACCTGCATCAGTTTCCTGATCTGGTGCTTCAGCGATAGTTTGTTCTTTAACTATTGTGTCTGTAGGTTCAGGTACAACCACTTCAGCATTAGAACTGGGCTGATCTTCTTCCAGTTCTGGTTTCACTTCTTCAGTGTCATCATCTAGTTTAACCTTATCTTCAATTGTGTCACTAGCTTTATCATCTGGTTTGACCTCATATTCAACAGTCTCACCGGTCTTTTCATCAGCGACATCTTGTTCTTTGGGTGTTTCTATTTCTTTTGTTGGTTTTCTTGAATCCTTATCATCATCTGTTGACTCCTCGTCACTGCTTGATGAGCTTGAATGAGAAGATTTTGAACTTTTTGAAGACGAGCTTGATGAACTTTTCTTTCTAAAAATCTTTTTAAGAGGCGATTTTGACTCGCTGCCTTTTTCAGTTTCCTTTGCTTTTTCCTCATCACTGCTTGTACTAGAGTCACTTTTTGTGCTAAATTTTGGTGATGCAGATGAAGTCATTTCCTTTTCAACAACAATTAACTCTTCAGTTGGTGTGGTTTTATCACCTGCATCAATTACTTTTTCGGTTGGTGTGGTTTCCTGTTCTGGTACTTCAGTGATAGTTTGTTCGTCAACAATTTTGTCTGTAGGTTCAGCTACAACCACTTCAGCATTATCACTGGGTTGATCTTCTTCAAGTTCTTGTTTCACTTCTTCAGTGTCACTGATTTTACCTGAGACATCACCATTGCTTCCATCGTCTGGTTTGACCTTATCTTCAGTTGTGTCACTGGTTTTATCATCTGGTTTAACCTCATCCTCCATGGACTCACTGGCGTTATTATCTGGTTTGACCTCATCTTCAACAGTCTCACTGGTCTTTTCATAAGCTATATCTTGTTCTTCGGGCGTTTCTATTTCTTTAGTTGGTTTTCTTGAATCCTTATCATCGTCTGTTAACTCCTCATCACTGCTGGATAAGCCTGAATGAGAAGATTTAGTTTCTTCATTGGCAGCTGTTTTTGTAGGTTTAGCTACAACCACTTGAGCATCATCACTGGGCAGATCTTCTTCCAGATCTGGTTTCACTTCTTCCACATAACTGGTCTCACTTAAGACATCACTTTTTCTTCCATCATCTGGTTTGTCCTTACTATTAACACTAGACTGATCCTCTCCTAGTTCCGGTGTTACATTTGCTGGCTCGATGACTGGGATCTTTTTATTATTGTCCTGTGTTCCTTTGTCATCTTGTTCTGTTAATCGTTGGGGTGGGATGACATCCTCTGTCTCATCCACACTTGCTTTATCTGAAGACATAGATTTGGAGCCATCTGATGATCTGCTAGATGCACTTAGTTTTCTTTGTGATCTGTCACCAACTGCCCAAGGAGTTACTGTTGTTTCCTTGTCACCTTTCTGTTGTGCATTTTCTGCATATTTATTGCTAATGACTTCCCTGTCATTCACACCATTTACAGTGCCTTGAATATTCTTTGCCTCACCATTTTCGGATATTAATAATTGCTTGGCTTCAGTAGGAATATCGCCGTGTTCTTTAACAGGTATATTCGCATTTGTTGGTTGGTTGATTGCTTGATTATCCGCCCTTTGTTCATTGTCATTGTCAATGTTGATTTGGGTATCTATACTAGACTTTGAATCTGTGTGACTGCTTCCATTGTCAGTTGCATCACTTGATGAACTAGAGATACTTTCATTTGATCTTTTGTGTTTATCTCTATTCTGACTTACAGCATCCGTTTTTTCGTCTGCTGTTGAAACTAACTTGTTCTCACTTGTAAGGCGTTCACTTGATTTCTTTTTGTTTTTAGATCGTTTGAACTTAAGTTTTCTCTTTTTCTTGAAAGGTTTCTTAACTTCATTATCTTCATCACGTCTCTTGCGAGTTGACAAGCAGTTACCCATGGCACTATTTTATCAAGAAAAAATATATATACGTTAAAAGAATATATAATTTCACTTTTTGAGACATGTAAAGCCTTCTTATACATATTGGATCATGCATTTTAATTAATTAATTAATTAGTTTGTTTAGTTATGTGTTTCTTTTTATTCGGTTTTTATTGGACTCTCTAAAATAAAATAAAGTAGCCTTGAGTGATTACTACAATAACAGTTACTTTTGAGTTGCTGATTACACACCATGATCCTTTTCAGTGTAGTGTTAGCTTCAGTTCTGCAGTATTTCTGGACTTGTTGCTATACAAACAGTTTTTATCATTGTTCATGAAGATCGCAATAATTAAGAGTGTTCTAATACGAGGTAAAAATGCTACTTTATAGATTGAAGATATTTAGATCGACTGAAGCAGTGTTGTTCATATTTTTATAACCAGAAGATAAAAACGTGCTTGAATGAATGTGTATATTTGGGAAAAGACCGCGTGTGTGTATATTATGTTAACATAATTTGCTACAGTTCTATTTAAGACTGCTTACTACTACAATTATCATTGCATTTTGCTTCATAGGAAAAGACAGTTTTAAGAATAGGAATATTAATAATCTGACAAGTTTCAGTTTGAGGGGTATATATATAGTATAGGGTAAATGTGTGTACGAGTTTAAATGATTTTTCTTTATAATATCTTTGAATTGAAAGTAATAGTTTATGTAAAAGTCTAAGTTACCTAAAATGGTTGGTGGGTTGTAACCTGTGCTGTACCCTATCTGTTAACTTATAATATAAAGTGTGTTAACTTTTAAAGTAGAAATCTACTTAAAGATAAAGATACAATTTCAGTCTATACAATAGGTACATGGTCATGGTGTGAGATATCATCAAGATAAGTTTGACACCTTCTGTATGTCGATTGATTTACTCAAACGTTGTGTTGTGATTGATTTACTTACGTAGCCATTCGACACTCAACATGGCAGAAATATGTGTGTGTGTGAATGAGATAATCCTACGCTGTACATAGGTTGAAGTTAAAAACAAACATACATAGGTCAAATCGCTCACATAGATTTAATTATGTAGACGCAGTATTTCTGCTGTGAAACTCGTGTGGAATGAATGCACAGTATTTCGTAGAGTACGAATTTTCGACTGTAAGACATCGGTATGTATGACCCAACCTTAACTATAAAGATAAGAAGACAACAATCTCGAGTTTACCATTAAACAAACAATATGACCGTAATTGACCCATATATATCATGAATGATCAGTAGGCCAACATACCCATCCCACATACACGTGATCAAAGTCTATCATTTACTAGTTCGAGTCGTACCATCTACCGCTTGTTTTTTTTTTAAATGTCGAAGTGATGACGTCATTGATTCCGTGCATTCAAGAACTGTTGTTATAATAGTTTTTTTCAAAGGTCAGACAGAGGTGTCTACGAAAGATGTTCGATTTAGCAGAAGATTTGACAAAAGTCAATATGCACATAAATGGGTTTATATTCTCGTAAAATAAAATATACGACCGTGTTTGATAATTTACGATGTATTGTCTGAATACGAGTGTGGCTACATTGTAATGCGTACAATGACACACCCTTTATTTTACGATTATAGTAGCTCAGTCGTTTGCATCAAGTTTTAGTACGTAATTCGACAGAAAACTAATTAGCAAGTTGTGAACTGGCGTGTTCTAAACGATTTAATTAGTATAAAGAATATTGTAGTAGTCATTGCAAGAAAAGAAATTTAACAAGTAAACTCACCTGCCTGTAAAACCTGTCGCTCAGTATTGTCGTCTGCTCGTTTGGATGAAATTTACGTAAATGCGCCAAGGAAAACCTCCTTGAGTTAGTATATCAGACGTTCTGTGGACGAATTTATCATTCTGACTATCCAATGCGGCAGGGTCGAGACAGTCCACCGGTGTCTGGGTTAGCGAACGCAGGCGTATATGTGACTGGAATAAGCCGACAGTATCAAGTGTGTGGTGCACTTGTTGACGCCTGTTTGTTTGCGTCAGGTCATTCCCCGATGATGCGCCCACTACAGTTGTGACGTCAACGTGCGAGTTACGCTTCTCGTGTAGGGGAGAAGAGTAAATGGAATTGAGCAAATTTCTCGTAGCAAAATTTTGCAAAACATCAATATTTTGCTCCCCAAATCAAATAAGACATTCTTGTCGTAACTTTAAATTAAATGCGAGTGGGTGGGTGTGTGGGTAAGAAAATTGAGTTCTTTAAAATGTGATATTGGAATACATAAAAGATAAACAAAAACGTTCTGGATACGTACGTATAAATATGTCTCCACAATTCAAAATGGCCAACTCTTATTCTGTCCCAAGGGAATTTATTTCTCGCCGTTCACAGTCTGTAAGACAAGCATGCATCTCTTATCTGATCTTGTGAACAATATTTTGCTGACTTGCAAAATTTTGCTCACTGAATTGTGTTCATCCAAATTGTGTTCACGAAATTTTGCTTACCACTTAGGGAGGTGATCAAAATCATACCAGCGATATGCAAATTTATTCATCAGCTGAAAATTCAGTGCGGCGCCTCGTTTTAGCCAGCAGACAAATTAAAAACCCATTGCTTAACGGGCGGTGGTCGTCGCGCAGCGTCCTGTCGATATGGGATCAAAGCGAAGCATGCAACGCGTGTGAAATAAATTGTTTATTTACATGAAAATCGACGACCACCGCCCTTTAACTCCAAAAAACATCAATTGCTGTATAAAAATATGACAACTTAAACGTAAACACATTTAAACGTTTGCAAATTTGCGGGACATTGTAGCTAGGTTTCTGTTGGCCTATTTCTTATCGTCGTATAAATAGTCGTATAAATTGATGGCCGTAAATATTTGCTGTATCACGTTGCTTTGGCGGTGTCACATAAGACGACTTGCGTTATATCTAGCACTGCTTTTAATATAAACAATTATTTCCAAATATTGAAAAATAATTATAGTAGACCGCACTGAAATAAAAACTCGTGCCTTGCCGACAAACTGGGTCTGAAATTCAAATACGTCACGGTCACAGCGACTTTCTCCAAGTTACGTAACATTACTGTCTCCATGCTAAAATGACGGGCCGTAAATATTTGCTGTATCGCGTTGCGTTGTTGACTTAACACGTCGGATGACTTGTGTATAATGCAGTATCTTGCTCTGATTGAAATAAAAAAAAAATTCAATAAAAACGAACTTTATGTATCGCACTGACAAAAAAACTCATACGCCGTAGTTCATAACATCGTGACAGTGCAACTTTAATAAAACGATGGACCAGCGATACACAGTTTCCAAAGTAAAATACCATTACGTCCGCATTCTACAAATATTAACAACTAGAATTTCAGTAACAATGGGATTATATAACACCGTAATTCATAACTTCGTGACTACTCAACTTTGATAAACCTCAGTACAGAGTTTCTAAAGTAAAATACCATTCGTCAAACCATCGAGATCAAACTGCGCGAATACTGTAATTGAGACGCTTTCCGGCGTTGACTTGGACGCACTGGCACTAAATACACATCTCTAACAGGACAGGAATAGATGATTTTCCGTACAATTGCGAGATCTCGCGAGATGCATGTAAGACGCGCGTCGAACGTCTGCCGCAAAAATCGAACGATTTGATTTTGAAATTCGAGTTTCTTTATTTCGTAGCTCACATCGACCAGCCGATTTTCGACAGAGGAATATTGCTTTCGAATACCCTTACTTAATCGAAATTGCCTATCATCAAATGTGTACAGCACATTACTAAGCATGGAAATGTCCCCAAAATATTTTCGCGTTTGTCGAATCCCACGCGATGTTTGACGACAGAACGACGCTATGACTTTTGTTTGTCCTGTTTATACGTTCGATTTCACGCATAACGCGTGATTCTCGCAGTGAACGGAAAATGGTCAATTTTGGCTCCCTGAACTTGAACCAATATCCATTAATTCTTCAAACACCGGACAGCTATCCTTTTCACTTGACTAGTTAAACCTGTTCGTATTTGGACAGGAAAAAGCCCGTTTCTGGGTGACCTCATTAATTAGTGAAATCGGCGGGGCTCCCTGGAGCTTCGCCGAGCTCCTCGGAAGACATGGTAGTTACCCGGAGCTCCGCGTATACCGGGCCGGAAACCGCTTGTTTGACTGTGATCATCTCCCTTAATCAACTTCAAAATGGAGTGCTCTACGAATTGGAAAATTGGATTATTAGAAAATATCGTTTTGTGTACATAAGTTCATTGTTCTTATCACGGAGCGCGTGTTGGTGAACTCGCCTGAACTTTGTTTACAATTATTTTTTAAGTATGGGCTATTATTTATCTGCGATGGGATTAGCTTTCAATTGTTTACACGATGAATCTTCGCGACAAATATTGATAACAAATAATAAACGAGAAATAAAGGCGAAAATAAATCATTTTGTATTTACCCGTGATCAGAAATATTTGTCGAAGACAGAGAGCGGTATAATTTGACATCCC